TTCACACGCCATACAAATTTAGAAGTGGTCTCAATTAGGTCTGAAACTTATGATAGGAACTTTATTCAATGTTTATCAGAACTAATGTATCAACCATGCTTCCAGCAATTGACTATCAAAGACTACTCATGTACAGATACCCCTGGTACATCATCCACTTCATTTAATGGTGTCCATTCCTTACTATCTGCATTCTTCCTCTCTCCTTATCCTCTCACACTTAGATTGGATAAGGTTACATTTGATTCTAGTGATCCTCTAGCTATCAACACTGAACAACAATCAAAATCACTTGATGTAGCTCGTGTGTATTTATATACAAGTGTAAGTGATACCTCTCGTATTCTTGAGTCTAATTTTCTTCCTCAGTACATTGTATTGAAATCATTGAAGATAAGGAGCAATGATGCATTCTGTTTATTTTCTAAAGTGAAATCAATCAAAGTAGACAAGATCACTATTGATATTGATACTGATACTAACACTCATAGTTTAAGATCATTGCTCAGTATAGTGTCAGCAAATGATATGACTGTTTCTATTAATGAAATAAATCTACCAAAAATAGTCATTAAATTTGGTCGGCCAATTCTCCTGGAGATAATTTTTAATTCATTGTCACAAACTAAACCATGCACCTTGTCTTAAATTGATAGTTAACAAAGGATGTTGTAATGGATATTGGTATTGTGTGATACTTGGAAGAGATGTGGTGCCATCAAACTGAAAAAAGCTGTTATGGTTGATCGGTGTAATGGTCAGGAAATAACGTATCTTGAAGTGATGATGTGAAACACATGCATTGACATTATTTGTGAACCTTTTTCGAATGTTCAATTCAAATACCAACTTAATATTAGAATTAAGTTGTGTTTTCATTTATTTCTTTTTTTATTGTTATAAATTAACAAGTAAAGAAACAGGAGATAAAATATACTTGACACGATCAGATACAATGAATTCCTGTTTAGATTTCAATGCATGTTCTAACTTAAGCAGTGATATTAAAATTAAAGTGACATATAAATTAACAACATTACTGAATGCATCATTAGCAATATATAAGTTAATAAAATGATAAAAATTAGTACGTGTGAAATGGACTACATAAAATCGCACATTATCATATAGCGGGTATATTCCGTCAGAGTTTAATTTCGTTCTTTTCGTTCTCATTCTGTGTGGAACAAAAATTTTCCAAACAAAAAAGGCATTTCCTCAATGCCACGTGTACAAAATGGCTGCTCAGAACGAAAATAAAACAAACAAAAATTTCTAATCCTGCTTAAAACAAACATTTTTCCAGACAAAATATACCCGCGATACGGTAGTGGGTTGTTGTATAGTTATTTGTTGTGTCAGCTATTAATTGTAAATATAGTCTAACTTATCTATTTTGTATAAAGATAGATTTACAATATTGTACTAGTCCTAACATTACATCGACACTGAAGTTGAATTCAGTTATACTCTTAAAGCATGCATCAAAAAGTCAAACCAACCCATGAGTTTCTTAATCAGCAACTTCATTTAATTTCTTAATTTCAAGTGATTATGTTAACACTATAAGTCACTTTAAACAGGTGTTACCTCCTTTGTCCCATTACTCATTGTTACATGTACCACTAGAGATCTG